AAGGAGAGGAAAAAATTATAGAATATTCATTTTCATTCAATTGTGGGTAATATCCACTATTAGAAGACCTTGCTGAAACAGTCTAGACCCCACGTATGAAAGAGTGCATGATGATATTAAAAAAAATTGCATGGATCCCTCCAACACCTTGGAATGGAAAAAAAAAAAAAAAGAGAGTGATCATCCATCTATTTCAACCAATCAATTCTATTTAACTTAGGAATAAAATTTATTTATAAAAATAAATAAAAAAAAAAATTATAGAAAACCCAAAAAAAAAAAACAAATGATAAAACAAAGAACATATAAAGTTGGAAAAAATAGAGCAAAATTTCCAATTAAATAAATACCAAAGGAACCCTCTAAATTTGGGTTAGTTTTCAAAACTTAAAATCCATGAAATCCTAGACACATGCTTAGCCAATAAGCTAAAATCCAAATAAATTAATAGTTGAAGGATAATATCGAGTAAAAAAAACAATTTAAAAACCTTTGCAACAAAAAAAATAACAACAATTAAAAACATAAAGATAAAATAGGAAAAAAAACAAAAGAATGGGAAATTAAAAAAATCAAATCAAAAAATTATCTTAGATTCTATAAATAACATTTAAAAGAATTGAAAGTAAATCTAACAAAGCAAGAACTTAAAAAGGGATGAAATTAAAATGAAATCTCAACTTTATAAATTATTTAAAATAAAGTAAATAATAATTAAAAGAACATGAACTCAGTAAAAAAATAGAAAGAAAAGTTTAATTGCTAATCTAAAAAATTACAGGGCAGGCATAAAGATCGAGGAAGAAAGAGGAAAGAAAGGAAAACAAAAAAGGAATGGTCACTAGTGAAAAATCAATAAATTTATTTGTACACGAGCTGTTTTTTCTTAGAGAAAACATTGAAACACATCGGAAACAACCTTAAAATAAAAATTTTGGACTCTTAAATAAGCCGCACCCATAGTCCTAAGATAGCAGAGCCACTAACCTTAGAAAATATAAAACCCTTTTTTTTTTATTTCTTGTTCTTTAAGATAGTTAGGTTTTAACCCGATAAAATAAGAATAATCTTATTAAAAAGATTTTTTTAAAATATTAAACAAATTTTTCTGGGTTTTAAAATTTCTAAGTTTTAACATAATGAGATAAAAATCTACTTACCCAACTTTTTTTTCTCAAATCTTAGATAGATTAATAAATAAAAATACGATTTAGAAGAAATAACAAATTAATTTATCATAAATAGAGTGTATTAGGAGTAATATATCTTCTTACTGTACAATTAGCACCTTTATTCATGCTTTAGCAAACTATTAAGTTTTTTAATGATTATATAATACTATGTGGTGATTTGTTTTATTTCTTAATAAAAAATAAAATTTTTTTATCTTTTCCATTAATTTTTATCTTTATAATCTTGATTTTAAAAAATAATTATCCCGACGCCATACTGCCCTATGATGCATAAAAATGAGCATCCAAAAATTTTCACGGCTCTTGTATCACAACATGCACAATGGGCCATCAATGGCATTTTTATTAGACATCATCTTTATCACAAGTCCGATCAACCTCGGCCCTTATCTTGAAGAACACAAAATCAGGCCCTCTTTCGTTTTTTAGCCCTAGTAAATGGTTTTTTCATTGAAAGAGCTTTCTTAGTCTTTCCCTGTCATTTTGTCATAGGCTTGTTGCGGCGGTTCTCACAATTACCTTGGATTCCTGGAATTTGTCATCCACAAATGGAGCATGTGGATGCTTATTTTAGTTGAAGATGTGGTTTCACGTCAGGAGTTTTGGAAGGCCGCTCAATGAAAACGACAAGCAATCAAATTCTGAACGAAGTTGGTTCGATTTTTTAATGGAAGAGAAGAAAGAAAGAGAAGGGTTTGGTTTTAAAAGATTATAAATAAAAGGAAGGAATGCAACCTCACTAATGGTTTCCTTGAGGGTTTTTTTTTCCTGAATATGTACGAGAATTAATGAGAGTATAGTCAGCAACTTAGCATTAAATTACAAAACTACAAGGACAGAAATTTAATATTACTAAATCCACAATCTAACTGTTAAGATCGATTTAGGGTTTTTACAAGGAGATTTTAATTTTAAATCTTGGAAAGGGTGGATTGAGAATAAAGATTTTAATCTGTTTTCTCTATTTTCATTTTATGTATTTACTGAGAATAAGATCACTTCTTTCTGTAACTTCTGTATAATTTGATTCTTGTCTTGAAATATAAGAAATACATAAAATGAAAATAGAGAAAACATATTATATATATATATA